TTTTTTTTTTTTTTTTTTTTTTTTTTGGTTTTCTGCCTGCCATTTGCAAACAAATAATACGCGTACATCAGCGACCGAAAAAAAATTAAATAAAATACATGTATTTTGTCTTCCATTGTTACTGGCCGTAATTCACATATTTGGCATATGTATATGTATATAAATGCATATGCATGTGTGTGTATAAATAAATGTGCGTATATAAAGGATATAATTTATGAGCTTTTGCCTGAGCTCTAATTAATGTTTTGCAGCGGTTGCTTCAACTAGTTGCAACTTGTACGAACTATTTTACAACGTCCAGTGCATGTTTATATTTCCTAATTTGAATGTATGCCAAGTGCAGAGGGAAACACAGAGAGAGAGAGAGTGAGAGTGGTCTGAATAGTATTTGGTGCTTGGATTACGCAATTCTAATGCAACATTTGCAGCATATTAAATTTGTTGCCTCTTTAAAAGCCACTAAGCGAGTTACAATCACTCTAATGCCTCAACCACAGACTGTTTCCAGCATTTCACTATGGCCTTGGGTTTCAGTTTCATGTTAATTCGAGCCACAATTATTCTCCCAATGCGTTTGTGTGTGTGTGTTTGTGCTGGGCGTGTCAGCATGAAGCTATTTAAAGGTGTAATTGTATCAGCTCAAGTAGAATCTAATGGAAGTGAATGATGATACATAGAGAGGGAGGTAGAGAAAGGGGAATGAGGAATGAGGCTCAGCAAGGGAGTGAGAGGATGTCAAAGAAACAAAGAAAAAAAGAGAATAAATGAAAGAAAGACAGAGAGAGAGGTATAAAGAGAGCGAAAGGTAACGATGTAGATAGGGATAGCAAAGTGAGGGAGATGGAAATAGATAGAGTGAAAGAGAGATAGAGAGAGACAGAGGGAGCACTTAGAGATTGAGAGAAAGAGAGACTCTCAGAGGCAGAAATAGAAAAATAAATATAATGAGAGTGAAATAGATATATACATATATCTTTATAAAGAGAGGAACAAAATATTTACAGGAAAAAAATGAGAGTCAGACAGCGATCAAGTCAGAAAAGGAAACTTGAATAAATAGAGCACAGGTAGGAGTCAGATATAGAGAGGCGAGTTAGGTGAATAGAGAGATTGCTAGATACGTAATTCTAGAGAGAGCACTTCATATTATTAAGACATTCGTTAAACTAAAGCAAATAACACAGGCATAAATACATTAAATCGCCAACTATAAACTGTTTGTAAAATGCTGGTCTAGGGTATGACAAGTACCCATATGTAATCTATAATATGCTCAATGCTAATGTTATTGCTGCGCACTCTGACCTTGGATTGTTTTGGTTTATGTAAAATTGCGCATACGCCTCGTGTGTCGGCACATAATGAATGATTGCATTAATTAGTCAATCGGGCCTTTATGTGGATTCGGGGTTTCATTAGGGGGACATTCATTCGAAAAGTTTAGCAACAACAATTATGTCAGGCAACGACAATTGCTTGCTGCAATCAATTATGTTGTTTCGGCTGCTTGGCAACATTGTCTTTTATAATTCCGTGTGTGTGTGTGTAAGTGTGTTTTTAATGTTTATGTTTGTTGCGTACTAAACTAATCGAGGGAATAACTGGGAGTTGGCTGAAACATGCAAACCATTTGGCCATAAAATGTGCCCGGTCTGCAGTAGGTGTTGCTGTTTGCTGTTTGTTGCTGTTGCTGTTGTTGTTGCGTCTGTCTGGCCGAAGCGATGACACGACACTTTATTGCCCTCTGACTGTAAGAGCGACCATTTTAATATGCCCCTGCCTGTGTG